TAGTAGTAGTAGTAGTAGTAGTAGTAGTAGTAGTAGTAGTAGTAGTAATAGTAGTAATAGTAAGTTGTTGTTGCTGCTGTAGTAGTAGTAGTGGTAGTAGTAGTAGTAGTAAGTTGTTGTTGTTGCTGCAGCACCGGCCAACAACTTCAGCAGTCTGAGTATCTCTTTGGATCGTTGATCGAAGAGGTCAGCTGCGATCCTCGGTCCAGATGGGCGCATCTTCGGTGTACCACACGGAGCATCACAGGCGCTGTGTTTGTCATTTTGATGCAAAGCTCGGCCTTCGGAGTGCGTCCTAGGTGCTATTGATTGATCCTGCATTGAGCAGCCTGCACCTGAGAGAAAGCAGGACAGTTGTATGGATTGCTTTAGCTGGTCGTAACTGGGATGCCCGCGCGTTCATAGTTTTGGAGGCTCAAAGCTCTAGGACAAACAATAGTAAGACTCAGACCGCCTAAACTAAACATGAGTTGGTTGGGAGGTGCAATTTGCTTATCGTGCGTGCTATAGAGGCATGATGATGCGCTCCAATCATCGACACAGACAGCAGCATGAACACCAGGATAGCACTCATACTTTATCAACCTTTTTTCAAACAAGGGATAGCTTTTCGTGTCATTCCTTATTGTATGTCAAATTCAATTCCAGCCACCATGGATTGGGAAGTCGCGCTTTGTCCTCGTTGATGGACTGGGATCCATTTGCAGATCCAGCTGACACTGCCGAAAGCGAGGCTCAGAGTGTTTCGAAAGAAGCGCTATTGAGAAGCTGGACGATCAGATACGTCACGATACTGTGATTCCTGAGCAGTGTGACTTGGAAGATGGTAAAGGGGCAGATTGAAGCTCGACTTGATGGTAGCAAAACTTGAGTTGACCATTTTGTTCTGATGATAAGTTCTAGATTCTAGAGGTTGCAAGCTTGTGATGCTTGATCCACTATGTACCTGCTGAAAGCTGTTGAATGTAGGCCACAGGGCCAGTGAGCTTGGGCACAGGCTCACACGATGCCGGCGCACCTCAGCAAAAGAATCAAAAGAGTTATTGTCATTGTTGTGTTCAACAAGAGGGTTTCCGAAAAGAGATTTGGTGGACCTTGATGAACATTTTGGATGCTAAGTACGACGGGTTTCGCCGAACGGATCACCTCCATAGCTGATAGTTGTTGTGTTAAATGATGTTGAAGGCTCAAAGGATCGAGCTCCCACCAGCCCATGATTTACTTGTCCGTGTTGAACGTGTTGCCAATGGTTTTCAGTAATAGGGGCCTCAGAAATCTCAAGACTGACAAACTTCTTCAGCAATCATGGTAACATAGGCACAGACCAGGGCTACGATTTGGACCAATACCCAAACCGAGTGAAATCGATGGTCACCACTTTGAGACAAGTGGCCTGACAAGTGGCCATGCCTCTGAGGCACCTTGGACCCCACCAAGTCCTGTGCTTGGCCGAGCGATTCGGGTGGCCTGCCTCCATGGAACCTGCAGCAACGGGAACATCACGAAGGCCACGAGGGACAAGCGCAACTCGTCAGTGGAGTGTCTAGTGAGTAGTATGCGAAACTGAACCGACGCTTGTGTTTTTAGTAAGGAACATTCCTAGCGTCCCAGGGTTTGCTTGGCCACCGCTTGGAAATTCCGGCGTTCTATTGGATATGGTACGCTTGGCGCTGGTGCTAGGTTGTATTACCTAGGCTCTTGATCAAAGCTGTTTGGTTGCCTGTGGCACTTGCTGCAGAGTGTGCTAGACCCATGCTAAATCTGCGCTAGACCACTTTGCACGTTTGACCACTTGAGCACCCCCTTTCCACAGACTACTGGATGTAACATACACGCAAGAATGACAGGAACCTCACCTCAACCAATAACAAGATCAAGTTGACATAATTTGACCGTGTACACACATGTTTGCAGAGAAGACTCACTTTGAGTTCCACACTTGGAAGAACAGGCGTGCACAACATACAAACACATAACGTTGTACATGAGTGTTCTCCACATGAAAGCCGCCGCTATTGCTATGACTTGGAGCTGGACAAATGATGGTAGTACAGACAATTTGTTCAGCCCCTCATTCAGAGATATAACATAAACTTAGCCGTGTTGCTCGAACCTCGAGCCGACTCGAACCTTCGGCGCAGAGCACCCAGCCAGTGAAGCTGTACCATGCTTCGCTACCACTGAAACACCATGATGTCGCCAGGTGCAGCTACAGCGAGCTGCCAAACTCTGTGGTGATATGGTAGAGTTCATCTACTTGGATGGCAGGAAGCTCCATATTCAATTGCTTTATTGATTAATTGAGTCCACCATCGTTTTTACTCTACAGAGGAAGATGATCTCTCAAGTGGATGAAGATTCGGTTGGGATAACTGGAATAGACATCTTGAATCTTGAACAGCATTTTGACAAGCTACTATTGTGAAACCGTGTGAAACCCATGGACCTGTGAGGATGAAGTCCGAGAAAGACAATGTCATGTGGAAGGACAATGACCCTTTGGGCCCTCGGGTTGACGTTGAAAAGTGTGGTGATCCGCTACTGTAGTGAGCTGCTTCGGAGAAGAAGCTTTGGACACGGACACAACACTGGTGAAAACACTAGCCCGCTAGCCAGGGTCCTTTATTTCGACAGCTACGATTGAGCCGGTTTGGATTTGGAATATCAACCGTGAATGAACCGATCGTCTCCTGGTGTCGAGCCAGGAGATGTCCAAAGCGTTCAAAGGGCAAGACCTCTACGATTGGGCCAAATGGTTGGAACCAAATGATGTGAAGCTCCGCCGCTCAGCCTAGGATCTGAAACTTCCATCATCTCTTTTTATTCAACATTCATATTGAATTATTGTTGTGATGTTTGATGATGTTGGTTTATTCTTTTCTTGAGCAGCATGGCGACTTCTTTGCTTGTGGTTTTCCAGTCAGCTTCTCAGCTGCAGCTAGATAAAGCTAAGAGGCTCTTGGCCATCTAACTGAGGCAAATACCACAATTTGGAGGAGAGGAATTATGTGAGCGCTTATATATGTGGTTTTTGTTGCTTGATTCATGACATTGGGTGATCCTACATTGATCTTGACTTTTTGCTTGGGAGGAGACCTTGAACTTTATCCAAGGTTTGTTGCGCGAGCACGAGCCCTTGGATGGCATCTTTGGCTTCTCACAAGGAGCCAACATGGCAAGTCTCCTGGCAGCGGAAGCCGTTGCAGGTCAAGGTGCCCGAGCAAGTTTTGTTCAAGCTGTTTTCAGTTTTGAAGGTGTATGAGCAACTGTATGACAGATCGATGGAGTGTGTATTTTGGTAGTTTCGACTCATTTTCCATTGTCGGTTTCTGGACTGTTTGGTTGATGAGTTGATGAGTAAGCACGGACGGGGCAGGTGTGACTTTTGGCTTTGTCATTCACAGCTGCCCAGCAGGACAGCCACACAGCGATCGAGTGTGTGGTCTGGTGTGTTGAGGTAGAGACTGGGTAGAGAGCGGCATCTTGAGATGCATGAGTCGCATGGGTAATTATACATCTTGAGAATCCTTCGACCATGCTATTCTCCATTCTAAACTGCGCCCGTTGAAACACATGTGCAGGCCCGGGTTGGGTCGAACAACGACCTGAGCTCTTTGATCGAAAGCTCCCCATGAGTGTCTTGCCTACTGTGGTGGAGATGCTGTCAATCGAGTCCAATAGAAGAACTCCAATCATTCTATATAGTTGCTTGATGTTGTTCGCACTCGACACATTCAAGTGAACCATAGTGAACCCCCACCCATGCACAGAAGAGTCTTCCTTCACAGAGGATTTAGGCTGACATCAACTGTCCAAAATCATCAGCTGCAACTGATTGAACCCTATGAAGGGGATCAAGAGCCTCGCAGTCCTTTCCCTTTCACCTTTCACATGGCCAAATCAGCGGAAAACATGTTTTTGTCCCAGTTAGGCTCGCAAGAGGTGGTAATGCAGCTGCATTATCGTCCCAAAAACCTTCATACATGCAAGGAATTCGGAATTCACGTTATCAATTGTCACCTCGGAGGATGCACTGGGCGTGCCAAGGAAGCCTCCACATCAGTGGCAAAGAGGATACGAATCCTGTGCTTCCCCTCCTTGAGCTGTTCAAACCTTAGAGAGTCACTGGCCCAGAGTGTGGGCCAAACCTTCCGAAATGGAGCGAGAAGGTTTATAGATACATCGGGGAGAGAATTTTCCATCCTGCTGTCAACTTAGGTGAGTGTTGGGGCCTGCAGTACAGGGTGCCAAAGCTTCCAAGGTGTCCAACACAGGTCAGGGCTCAAAGGATTAATCAAAAGGTTAAACGCTAAACATCCAGTTTTTCTCAAATTCAAGCTCCAACACTCACGCACCAATCATGGAAGGTCCTTGAAACGAAAGCGAGGGACTGATGACTTGACACCTAACCGGCCTGTGAAGGCAAATGGCGCACAGAATATCACAATGTTTGGAACACACTTCGATCCATGCTCGCAAGAGCTATATCAGTTAGTGCACTCCAGTGTTACTGCAAGTAGACCTTTACACGCACTTAGACCTTGGCTGAGGGAACGGAAAGGTGAAAGAGTTCGCGACAACAGTAGTATTGTTCAGAAAAAGCTCATGAGCACTTGCATAGGGAGGTAGGTTCCATAATGGAGCGACAGACAAGTCTGCCGACGAACCCTACCTCCTGATTTCGGGCGAGACATAAGAATCACCCAGTAGAACAGTCACCGTAGCTCCCAGCTATGACCCCAACTGAATGGGTAAGTCATCCAACGCTACATGCCGGTACAGGAAACCGGCCAAATCCACAGCTTCATTGCCTGTGATAGGATAAGAGTGTCATACGCCCCTGCAGAAGTGTATAGAGTTTAGTCTTTTTTGGAACAGGGGGGACGCACACACACACAATTAGCCGAAATCGGCGCTCCCTGAGGAGAGGCCGCAACAGGCCTGCCGGCTGTCGAGAGACGTTTGAAGGCGGTCCAAAATGCCTAACGTCGCCTTTGGAAGCCCATAAGAAGAGAGGAGGCTGGCTTCGGACAGGCCACACAGAGGCCGCAACAGGCCTGCCGGCTGCCGAGAGGGGTTTGAAGGCGGTCCAAAGTGCCTAACGTCGCCTTTGGAAGCCCATAAGCAGAGAGGAGGCAGGCTTCGGACAGGCCACAGAGAGGCCGCAACAGGCCTGCCGTTTGAAGGCGGTCCAAAGTGCCTAACGTCGCCTTTGGAAGCCCATAAGAAGAGAGGAGGCAGGCTTCGGACAGGCCACACAGAGGCCGCAACAGGCCTACCGGCTGCCGAGAAGGGCTTGGAAGGGCTCTGCTGGGCTTGGCCAACTGCTTCACCCTGCGGTGTCCCAGGCGCCTCCCCGCCTAGGCTTTGGCTATAGGCCGGGGTCGGCGGATTCTCACTTGTGTCATTAGCGGGGGAAAAGTGCATTTACTAAACGAGCCTAACTGTAACCTAACAAGCCTGAGAGAAAACCAAACAAACGAAAGAACGCAAGGAGAGAAAGGGATGCGGGGTGCGCGTGGGGTGGGGTGAAAGGCACGGCCCGAATGGCACTGGCCAGAAAGCCCAAATCGGCGCACCCTTGACTAAACATTAACCTGACACCCAAAAAGCCTCTAGCAACGAACGAAAACCTAGAAAACGAAAACGAAGCAGAAAGAGAGAAAGCAACAACAAGGGGAATACTTAGCCGCTTAGCCGCATCTTTGTACAATGACTACTTAGCATAAGTGATTACATTAGCGCCATGTCATGACATTCTGTGTTGGAATCAGGTGGCCCTGCGGCATATGATTTGCAATCTTGAGCAAACGGCTGGTTAGTGGAGGTTCGAGCAGAAGACGCGCAGAGCAGTGAGGAAGCGCTCTTGAGGGTCTGCGCTATACACGCCCATAGCTGGGAGCACACAACAGACCTCAGTGGGACCCTGTTGCGGCACACACTTCGATCCATGCTCGCAAGAGCTATATCAGTGAGTTACGGCACTCCAATGTTACTGCAAGTAGACCTTTACACGCACTTAGACCTTGGCTGAGGGAACGGAAAGGTGAAAAAAGAGTCCGCGGCAACAGTAGTATTAACAAAAGCTCATGAGCACTCGCGTAGGGAGGTAGGTTCCATAATGGAGCGAGACAAGTGAATCGCTCTAAGTAGGTACAAAGCCTCCTGTTTGTAGCCACGCTAAACTAAAAGGGAAACAGAAGCCGCCTGTTTAGCTAGGGTCGAGACTGACGAATCGCTCCATTAGGATAGAAACGGAAAGGGCGCCGACAGACAAGTCTGCCGACGAACCTTGCCTCCTGTTGTCGGGCGAGACATAAGAATCACCCAGTAGAGTAGACCCCAACTTAAGGTAAGTTGGAGCAGGGGGACACACTCTGACATTGGTTCTCAGTTAACTCAGTTCCCAGGTGGAAGGAAAGTGGAGAACCGCAAGGTGAAAAGGTCAGCGAGAATCGAGAACAGTATGGTTTAACCTTGTTTTCAATTGCACTCGAAAACGATCGGACACTCAGCGCGGCTGCAAGTCTGCTGCAAGTCTGCGGTGAGAAAAGGTTTTGGGGTCTATCGCGCAAGGACCATGGAATCAAACAAGGAAAGATTGGAGTCACAGCGTGATCAACAGTTGCGTCACAGGTACAGGAAACTGGCCAAATTTCCCTTCCCACTCTTATCCACAGCTTCGTTCCGTGTGATAGGATAAGAGTGTCACACGCCCCTGCTTGAGAGTGAAAAACCAAAAAGGAAGGGGAGGACCCTTAGAGACAGGGCTTGACACACACACTTTGACACTGGTTTTCCGTTAAACTCAATTTCTCCGATGGGAAGAAAGGTGATGGAACTGCATGGTGGAGAGTCCGAAAGACTTGTAGGTGTTTCAACAAGTTGTTGGTCAAGTCTGCTGAACGATCGGTCGGCGCGGCTCAGCTGCAAGATAAACGCGGCAAAGGGGAGGTTTTGGGGAAGTATCATGGAACCACCATGACAGCAAACCAAAGGAAGAGTGGAGTCACAGCTTGATAGAACGGCAGGTACGCAGGGCTGATCGGGCCCTGCTTCCCACTCCCGCCCACAGCTTCGTTGCGTGTGGTAGGGCGGGAGTGCCACACGCCCCTGCCTGTGTAAAGTGGAAAGAGTGGTGGTGAAAGACCCTTTGTCCAGGGTGGGACACACACACACACGTGGCCGTTTTCGGCGCGCATGGGATCACGTTGCCAAGATGGCTGTGATTTCCCGCAGAAAACGCTGGCACTCTCTGGCGCTGTGTCTCTTTGGGATGTACAGTCGCAGAAGGTGAATACTTAGCCCTTGACTGGGGTTGGGAAACGAGCCTCGAGAACCACCTAAAAAGCCTGAAAGAAAGCCTAACAAACGACGAAAAGCGCAAGAAGGAAAGCGGGGGGCAGGGAGGGGGTGTATGTCCATGTGTGTGTACATGTGTGCGTTTGAATACTTAGCCCTCTAGAGTTACTGACTACAAAGCTGAAACGAATTAAGTGCAATAGTTAGGGAGCGGGACTTTAGTCTTAGACCGCCCGGGTAGAGTAGACTAGAGCAGGGACAACAGAGGGAAAGGCACCGACGCACAAGTGTGTCGAGTACCATTTCCTAATTAGGTAGGGAGTAGAACTCGGCAGGGGGGGGTTTGGGAACTAGGTAGAACATGTCAGATTGCACAAACGATTGTGGTGGAAAATGGGACACTGTACATGCTTGAAAGTCAAAGCGAGCTGCAAAAACAAAAACACATAGTCACGCAATCAAATGTTTTTGTCCGTACAAGCCCGGCGGCTGTTGAGGCAGTCAATCCAGTAGTGAGAAGTAATCAGTTAAGAGAGTCCAAGGAGTGGTGGAAGGGGAAAATTCCGTTACACGATTTCCAGCATGAATTCAGCGCCCCACTGACGGGGATCACACCCAGCACCCAAGTGGGACGACTGAGCGGCTCACACTCTGACATTGGTTTTCAGTTAACTCAGTTCCCAGGTGGAAGGAAAGTGGAGAACCGCAAGGTGAAAAGGTCAGCGAGAATCGAGAACAGTATGGTTTAACCTTGTTTTCAATTGCACTCGAAAACGATCGGACACTCAGCGCGGCTGCAAGTCTGCTGCAAGTCTGCGGTGGGAAAAGGTTTTGGGGTCTATCATGCAAGGACCATGGAATCAAACAAGGAAAGATTGGAGTCACAGCGTGATCAACAGTTGCGTCGCAGGTACAGGAAACTGGCCAAGTTTCCCTTCCCACTCTTATCCACAGGTTCGTTCTGTGTGATAGGATAAGAGTGTCACACGCCCCTGCTTGAGAGTGTAAAACCAAAAAGGAAGGGGAGGACCCTTAGAGACAGGGCTTGACACACACACACACACCCAAGAGCAGTAGCAGGTACAAAAGGAGTCCTAGAAGTGCAAAAGACACTGCCTGGCTACACCATAGAGTAGGGTTCAGAAGGTTGGACAGTTATGGAAAATTGCAATCGCAAACTGTTTTAGGATGGTCCCACAAAGAGGTAGAGAGAGAGAGGGAGGAGAGAGAGAGAGAGAGACAAGCACACAGCACTAGGTGCATGAAGAGACGTGAAAAAAAATGTTCGGGATCATGTTTGAGACAATTCTGGGACCTTTATATGCCATGAACGTCGGTGTCGTGGAGTTTGGACTGCGTGTCCGGCCCCAAAGCCACCTGAGGTATGAAGATCCTGTGAGTGTTGTCCATAGTGATGGACACAAGGTGATTCCCAGTGCTGGTGGTCGCGAGGAGAGGGATGGCCGTGCAAAAAATCATAGTTTCTGGCTCAGGGAGAAACTGCTGGAAAAAACACTTGGGTTTGGTAGGTTTACCATTGCTAGATTTGTCTCCTTCCACCAAGAAGAATTGGCAGAGGCCCGGAGGGAGGCCTGGGACCACATTCTGGTGATGATGAGATTCTTTCCGCACAGGAGGCTGACTTCGTGGCGAAGACGATTGCAGCGTTCTGGCTTGCAAGCAGCAAGAAGGTTGGTTCGTAACTATTGCTGGGGTCGAAGAACATGAATGCCCCAAAGACACCAGACAAATGCCGATGGAGCAGAATATGCCACAGCAAGGAAGTATTTGAATGGAAGAAGAGTACGACTCGGACTTTTTTTCTGAGTTTTTCATGTAAGGACTTCATTCTGCGGGCTGCTTCATAAGCATCGGTGGCATCAGCGACCATGTGTGACTGACATGACTGGAAAAGCTGGGCAATATGATTTGGAACATGTTGCACATCATGCACGTCGATGACCGTGTCGACCATTGTCAGTGGTGTGTCGGATCAGGTGTCTTCCTGGTCGGACCTGTGTGGGGCGGCGGCCTTTACAAATGGCTGCCGTCTTGGCTTTGGGATGAGGGGCATGGAGTAACTAGCTTTGACTTCTGAAGGATGCAAATCGTGTTTCGAGGGAAGCACTGGCTAAAGCATTCATAGAACAACCATCCAAATGTTAGATCATGAGCCCGTGAGTGCAGTGTGGCAGTACACCACACGGGCGCGACTGAGTCTGTGAAGCCTCGCTGTGGCAATGACCGTCCTTTTCCCGAGGCAAGGTGGCATCCTGGCGATTGATCACTCGATCTATGCAGCCTGGCAAAGGATCAGAAGTCATGCAGTCATGTCTTTACAGCTTGGCTTTATTGTTTTTGTGCATTTCTTTGGCGGAAAGCGACGCAGCATATTTCTCCAAAAATTGTGTGTGCATGATCTGAGATGATGCCGTATGACAACGAGCGCGTCTTGCGGGTCATCCCCAATAGCACCGGAGCGGCAGCTTGGTTGAATACCGGCCACCGCCATGTTCCTTTGGTTTTGGATCGCAAGTCTTGCAGGAAACCACTTGAAATATCCTTGAAGGAAGATTTTGTTGCGCTTCTCGCTGAGGATGTGGTCGAGGAGGCTTGGGGCTGGTTGAGTTCCTTTTACCAGACCGACCTGCGTCCAAGAACGCAGCAGGTTCTTGATGGCTTCACCCTACCTGGAGAGCAGAAGTACAGCGGTGTGGCCATGGTTCCCAGCGGTGCCCTTTTCGTCTGGTCCTCAGTCATCCAAGTCATACAGCTTCTACGCACAAGCGACTAAGCGGCAGCAACGTTCAGGCGAGGTTGAACTATTCAGGTACGGTGACTTTGCACTTGGACCCATGTCAAGACTTGTCGACAGATGTTGATCCGACAAATCGTGAGTGGTCTGTGTGGTCTGAGGCCTTCCCAGCCTATGCTGCAGAGGCTGGGAAGAAACAAGCGTGACTTCCGAGGCCATGGGTCTAGTGGGATTTGTAGAATGAAAAGCAGTGCCAATGTTTACGCAATTTTTTGGCTACTCGTTGAAGCAACTGGCTTGAGACGAATTCAATGACTGAGCCTGTAAACGCAGTCCAGTCTACATACAGATCCTGGCGAACCTGTTGTGTTGTTGATCCCAACTCTACTTGATGGGAACAATATTTTCTGCCAGAACACCCGGAGTCGCTGCGTACTTCCGTGGGTCGCTGCGGATCGAGGGTTTCCCCGAAGGGTTCTTGAAGGAAGCTCCCCGACGCCTGAGCGACTGCGCGTTGGCAACCACTAAAGCTTCTTACCCCTCACATCCCCTGGCTTTTTTTGCTTAAAAACACATCGACCTTCCGAACTTCCACACAAAAAATAAGACCGAATTGGCACTAGCTTCACGTTGTGTGCCGGAGGGAATGTGCCGGAACCCGTAGCAGCAGTCTCCAAAAGCTAGTTACGCCGGGCCAACTTGTTGATTACCCCTGCTTGTGATCCAACTGAACATCGCAACCCGTTGGCAGTTCATAGAATCAACAAAAGGCCCTGTCACGGTCCTCAGTGCACCGCCCCAATGTTTCAAACAGGCGTTGTGGTCGCTGTGAAAAAAGACGCAAACCACGCGAATCACCTCGGACCTCATTTCGGACACCCTCAGAATACACTGCTTTTAACTTTTTACCATGTAAAACGCACCAGCTCATTTTTCCATGGCAAAACATACGTAGGGGGTCGAACACATCCACATGCTTCTTTCGCGCGTGCCCAAGAATGACAACAACAAAATTACAAACAACTTGCATACATGCCTCACACAAAGCTCATCATTGAGAGCCGTTGCAAAGACTCAACGTGCGCGAACATACTTGAAATTAGTCAAACAATGTTTCTCACCTGTGGCCCTGCGAACATAGACTATCCAAGCTGAGCACAACCCAGAACCGTCCAATGACTCATGTTGACCGATGGCCAGTCGAACAGGTCTTGTCGATGGTGCCTGCTGTGGATCTTTGCTTAGCAGGACCTCAGTTCCAGGCCGGGAGAAAAGGCTGTAGCAGCGATCACATATGGGGGTTTACAAAGACAACTTGGCAGCCCCTTTGTAAGATTTTGTAAGAGTGGACTTTTGGCAGAGCATCCAAAGCAATGCGACAGTGTAGTTCACAGAAGAGAGTTTGACATGAACTCAAAGCAGTGAGCGCCGCCTTCACTTCTTCTGTTAGGAACTGTTGGAAGAAGGTATGATTGGACGGACACACACTTAAAATTTCGGTGTTATTTTTGTTTCCATTTGACCTCTCAGAATTCAAACAATCCAATACTGCCCTGTGTGAAGGCTACAGGGTTCCACACGTTGGTAGAGTTTCTCCATCAAAGCGGTGTTTATTTCCCCATGGGGGAACCAATCAATGGACACTCCTAGCTACTACTTGGCCAGTATGTGTTTCTCATGCCCTGGAAATCACTGACAGGAGTCCGTGTGCACTCTGGGAGCTGGCCTCATTGCAACGTTTTTTGCCAAAACTCACAGAACTGATTTCCCTCAGGTCAGAGCTGTACGGTGGAGCTGACTCCAACCCCAGATTGGCCCACCAATTTGTCCAATGGCTCCTCGGCCAAGGGGTGGCGGGCGACCGCAGTCGCCTTGCGGTTGCCAGGTTGTTTGATCTTTCGCTCTGAGGCATTCTTTGGGTGTCTCCAGCAGTAGTTGCCCCAGTGGCGATGGCTTTGAATCCAGAAGTCCATTGACATTGGAGTCCAACATGTCAGATGTGGGAACTATATAAGCAATGTTGATGTTCATAGAATTGGGCCATTGTAGTGGACATGACATGGTCCTGACAAGACTGTTTGAGCATATTGTAGTTTCTATGGTTTACAGTTTTACATTGATATAAAATTGTAAGCAGCTGTCGTTCTCTTCCTCGGGTGGAACTGAGGGCAGCCTTTGTCAAGAGCAGCTGAATCTGGAGGTGGGCCTTTTGAGGACTTGACGGAGGTTTCCAAATCCTTTGGTTGGTATTCGGGATAGCAGTGAACGGAAGCGCGAACAGCGAATCTGCCAATGGGATGCAAGGAGTCTTGTCAGGTTAGATCCCGTTCATTTTAACACAGCAAGAAATACGGGGAAAAAGTCAGAACAATCGACAACATCAAAAAACACGAGGACCGAAGGTCAAGAGAATCATCATCCATCAAAGGAGAGAACACCAGAAAAGGATAGATAAGGTCTGATGCCATCACCGAGTAGCACCTTTGTCCAGTCATGAACCGGGAGAGCCAGCAACCGCAGGTGATTGGATTCACCAATCCGCAGACAGAACCCACTCAAACAGGCGCTTTCCGCTTGTCAGCGCTCCATGTTCTAAGGCCTTTTGAGTTCCAGGAATCTCAACCAAAGATCGTTGTGTTATCTTTTGGGTGAAGACCACGGGAGAAGGTGGATGATTGACTTCCCGCTGGATCACCGGACTAATTAGCTTCATTGGCAGGTCAGGGCGAGCAAGTGACGCATTCCTTCGGGACTGGCCAGGAAGCATAGTTTGAGCGTTACAGTGATGTCTTTTGCTTTGAAACCTCAATTATATTCACCTGGCTCAGATGCATTCATGACGTTTTCTGTTGAATACAGGGCTAGCACTTGAAGAATCTGAACCTTATTTGCCCTGTTTAACTTGCCGGTCTCTCGAACATATTCCGTGTGTCTCATTGTGCATTTGTCGTGTGACGTGGCAAAAGTCTCCAAATTTCCACTGACAGGAAAACACACTTGCGATCCCAAATGTTTCGGAAGTATCGCTACAAAGATTGCAGAACCCTTCAGAACCCTTGCTTGAGGTCTCTCCGGGAATGTCTCCACTCAGTGTGCACCTCAAGTCTGCTGCGCTACGTGGTCATTTGCGCATCCGTTGCACGGGGCTTGTGCTACTGGCTCCCATGGTCTCTTCATAAAGCTTTATTGAATGTCCTTCACAGAAAGTGTGTAATACTTGTATCGAGATTTGGGAGTTTAGTGCCTACAGGTGAGCAAGAGTTGTCAAAGCCAGTTCAGTGTGCGCGCACTCGCACAAACAGATTATCAGTTTGATCAACGGTTAACGTCCTTCAAAGGAGCTTGTTGTGCTGGAAGTTCCACGCGAGCTCGCTGGACATCATTGCCAGATGCTCAACTGTGGAGAAGTGGAAGACACTGAAGACACATAAAATCATATATGCCTTGAATGTTTTCAATGGAATGGTGCTAGCTTTCTCGGATCAAGTCGATGAGCCATAGGCCACTGACCACAGGAGTGTCGGCCGGGTCGTCGCTTGCCATAGCCCTCAAACTGCTGGATTGGGACCATAAAGACCTGCTATCCTTGTACAACCAAGCCCCTGCATCTTCGAACTTCCATACTGGTTCGTTTCTACTGGGTTTGGTTTGTGGATTGGTTCTTTATTTCTCCATCGAGTGGCTGGTCACACTGCGTTGGGCTGTCATCGAGTGGGTTCACTCGGCCACTGCTGGATCGGGGCAAGTTCGGCGAAAGGAGCTCTACAAGCTCCTTTGATGGGCAAGCGGTTGGCTGACCTTGAAGCTGAGGTCAGTGAGCTGCGTGAGGCAGTTGACAAGCTGTCGCTGGCTTTTGGTCGGTTGAAGCGAGAGGTGGCTGAGCAGCGTGGTAGGCGCAGCTCAGAGAGTGATCGAGGGGAAGAGGACCGGCTTTCGGACGAGTCCTACTCAGTGGTGAGCGCTAGGCAAGCGCATCTGAGCGGATCTCCTGGGGGTCTTCGTGGTTATCCAGGTTCCCCGCCCGATTGCTCGCATCGAAAGTCAGGTGGGCCCTCGTCTTCAGATCTTACATCGGCTCGGGACCTTAGCTGGGCTCAACGCGAGGAAATCGCGGCTGGCATCGGCAGGTTCTTCACTCGTTGCCTGACTGGCAGCCACCGTGGATCCAGTGGGAGGGACAGAATCCCTCTTGCATCTCGGCTTTGGGTGGTTGTTCGAGATTATCACGGTCAAGTTCATTCCCCTGTTCGAGTGTTTAAGACTTGGACATCGTGCAAAGGCTGGGTGAAGCAATACGAGGACGTGGGAGATTCCATTTTTTGTGGCTTCCCCTCGGCTAGGGAGGCGAAGGTGGCCGTTGCAGCAGCGGAGCTGCAGTGGCCGGTGAGCTTTGATCAGTGATGGAAGGGGTGCTGCCTGCAGAGGGCAGCGCTCCACCTCCCTTCCTCCTAGTGGACGGGAGGATTGTAGCAAGTGAAGAAGTTGTGGTTCAGCTCTACTTTGACGACCTCGAGGAAGGCGACGTAGCCTTCCCCTTGCTGTTGATTGCCGAATTTGAAAACAAACCTCTTGTGGCCGTTCCTTTTGCAGCATGGCACCGAAATGTGAGCCGCAGACAGATGCAACCCGGTGCCCTCTCAAAACCTGCTGTGGTGGTGGAAGTGCTGGCAGCCGATGCTGTGGACAAAATGATTTTGAAGCCCGATTACCACATCAAGTGTTGGGTCGGCTATCTTCAGCCGGCGTTGTTGACACACCTGCAGCCGCTGACGGATTACGAGGACTGCAGCTTTACATTTGGTGTAGTCGAGGGCACTTATGCCATCCCGGCGATAGAGAGCCTAGTGACTGCAGCAAACGAGCATTTTGCGTTCTTCTCAGCTGGAGATGGTTTGAGCGGGGCCGAAGATGCAATCGATCCGGAGTTGATGCCAGGAGACGGAGGATCTGGGTCGGCAGACTTAGGAGCTCGCGTCGATGCCATCGAAGTCACGTTGAGGACCCTTTCAGAAGGGATGAATCAACTGTTGATGAAGATTCCGGGCGGCGAGCAAACCACTGCACCTCGTCAGCCTGCTCTGCGCAAGACTGCACCCCCCAAGGAGGTCAAGCCCAAGAATGCGCAACCCAAACTTCATTTCCCTCACCTGGATGCAGGTGTGGTGGAGGCCGCCCTCCAGGCTGGCATACCTACTCACAGTTTGGCCATGATGGAAAAGCTGGTGACTCAGAATGTCAAGGCGAAGAGAGTGGTGGACGAGCGACCAAGTGTTGCTTTGGGCGACCCCCTGTCGGAGGAGGAAGAGGATGCAGGCGAAGGGCGATTAGCTGCGGAAGAAGAGTCAGAGTCTGGTGGAGTTCCAGCGGATCCCATGGCCGCTACGCTTTCCAAGTTGACGAGCATTGTTTCCTTTTTAGCAGAGGACAAGAAGAAAGCGAGAGGAGCCTCGAAGCTGGACTTGGCACTGGACAGCGCTCAGGGTTCGTCTGCATCAGACGGCTTCAGCGTGAGAGCGGTCAAGAAGACTGCAGCAGCACGACGGGCACTCCGGACGGCCTTGACCGATCACCCGGAGGAGATTCATGCTTGCATAGAACGCCTGATGTACGAGGACCTGTCGTCGCAGACTCTGGGACCTGGGCAACCGCCCTGGGGCTCAATGCCCGTGCATGGGTGGAACACCGCTCGCGAATCAATGGCTACAAGACTGGGGCGCATTGCGCATGGGCCTTTGCAGGAATCATCGATGCTATGGTCGGTGGCAAGACAGCCCTGGCGAGAGCTCGCGCTTGCTTGGCCTTGGTACAGCTGGATCAAGCAGCTATAGACAAGGGCTCATGGACCCTTGCGGCAGAGCTCAGTCTCGAGCAGACTCCCCCAATGTCAGTGCTTGCGACGCATCAGTGTCCAAACGTGCAGGACGGAGAGAGCCCATTCAGTCGTCTGCTAGATTCTCGCTGGGCAGAGGTGACCCTGGGACATCTTCGGGATCAAGAGGAATTTTTGACGAGGAGGAAGAACATCGGCAAGAACTCCAGCAAGACCGGGAAAGAGGAGTCAGAGGAGAGCGTGAGTTGGGAGGCGAAACGACGCGCAAAGGCCAAGGCGAAGACCAAAGCTGCTGCGGGGTCCGAGAAGGGCAAGGATGCATGATGGGCCGAGATGGCCTTGTTGGTGAGGAGCTTGAGGACAGCCTTTTTGAAAAGTTGCCCGGAGCCGGAGCTTCCACTATTTTTGTTCCTGGTTTTTTGAATTCACTGCCGAGATTGCTGCTAAAGACCAAGAGTGGCTTTCAAGGTTTTTTGGCATCCATCGTACAGAGCCCTGCTAGAGACGACCTAGCGACATCAATGCCAGGTGCCTCTACGTGGCCACTTCCGCTCCCTTACCCTGAGGTATTCAGACGTGCAGCCGGTTCCCGTGTTCCTGGGGCTCATTTGAAACGCCTGACATGCCTCCAAGTGGCGGCACTTGACTGGATGCTATTGGGGTGTCCTGCTGCGGCACCGCTATTTTTGCGGCTTGGGAGAAGGCTGAATGCAAAACAGTGGACAGTAGTGCGGATGCTTGAGCACCTCGCAGTTGATCGGAATTTCCCAGAATTTGTGACGGCAGCGGACATGGGTCGAGCAGCTGGCAAAGTCGAAGATTTTCAAGACAGTCTGGATGCATTGGCCAGAGCCGCTGTTGCCTTGCATGGTGAGTTTGGGGGCTACTCTTTCATGAAGCCTAGTCGAGATGGATGCTCGAAAGAAGCGCAGCTCCTACGTGCAGGTCAAATAGTGGGAAGGGCAGACAGAAACCCGGTTGTCACAGCGAAGCCTCTGATAGCCAAAAGATATTGAACTTCCCGCCTGCACCTGCTTTCGATCCAGTTCCCTTTTTTTGACCCGTCCACGACCGAGCGATATGTGCATCCAATCTCCCGGGGATATCGCCCAGATGATGTTTCAGAGCTTCCGCCGTTGGTGCAAGTGCGAGCCAATAGCACAGAGAAGGTTGCCTTGTATAAGAAGTTAGCTGATTCTGGCAGGCTTCGTCCGATTGACAGTGGCAGTTTTCATCGCGGCTACTGTTCAGGCCTTTTTGCAGTGGTGAAAGATCAGCACAGGGACCGCGTGATATTGGACGGCCGACCTGCCAACCTCCTCACCAGAGGACAGCAGAAATGGTGTAGAACCATGGCTTCGGGACTTGCCTTGAGCCTTTTGCTGCTTGAAGACGATAAAGTTCTGGTGTGCAGTGGGCTGGATTTGAAAGATTTTTTCTACCAATTCAGGTTGGCCAAGAGAGATGCGAACGCAACGCTCTCGCCTCGCCTGTGAGCATGGCAGAAGCAAGGGAAATCTTCGGCCCGGCCTTTTCATGGCACGAGGATCCGGTGTGGGTTGGACTGTCCACGCTGGCTATGGGCGACACTATGGCTGTGGAGTTCGCTCAAGCTGGCCATATTGGGTTGTGTCTCCGACATGGCGTGGCTTCTGTCGATGAGTTGATAACGCTGCATGGCTCCTTGCCCAGAGGACTGCTCCAAGTTGGAATCATAGTTGACGACCTGATTTTTTTAGAGCAAGTTCTTCGTGGACTCCCCTTAGATGAATGCGAACTGGAGTCTGACCGACGGGTAGCGAATGCTGAAGCGGCCTACCGACGCACCGGCTTGATCCACAACCCTGGCAAGACCTTCAAGAAGCAAGTCTGTTCCCGCTTTTGGGGACTAGAAGTTGACGGCGACAAAGGCCTGCTCAGATCCTCTTCCTTGCGGCTGTGGCCAGTCGCCTTCATTACCATGAGAGTTGTTTCGTTGGGGCTCGCCACGATTGGGTTGCTTGAAGCACTTGCTGGGTCCTGGGTTTCATTGTATGGCATTCGGAGGAGAATGTTTTGCTGCTTGGATGTTATTTTTAAGCCTCTTTGCATTGAAGATCAAAAAGCTGTAGTGAGACTCTCCCCCGACATCATTGCTGAACTTACAGTGCTAGTGGTGCTTGGATCCCTGGCTGTTGTGAATCTGCGTGCCACTTACCTCGACCAGGTGATAGCTACAGACGCTTCCAGCGATTGCATGGCAGCGGTCGCGGCGGCTTGTCCTGCAGCAGTGGTCAAAGAAGTGTCTCGACATGCATTGAAGAAGGGCATTTGGACGAAGCTGCTCCCCAGCTCCAAAGCTCGTGATCGAGCGCATGGCATCTTGGATAGTGATGACGAGGTGCCGGGTGAGCGCATCAGAGGACATCCTCTATGGAATTTGATGGCTCGGGCGCTTGACTATGAGGTGTTGTGGAGGGAGTTTGTGCATCGACCCACTCATGTCAACATCCTGGAGTTGCGGGCCTACCTGCGAGAAGAAAAGAGGCTAGCCTCTAGACGCCAATCTGTTCGAGTCCTCTCCGGGCTTGACTCTCAAGTGGCATTAGGAGCTCTGGTGAAAGGCCGATCGTCCAGCCGGGCGCTGAACAATGAGATGCGTCGCTTCTTAGGACCTGCTCTAGGCGGGGATATTTATGGCTTGCACATGTACTATGACACGGCTTACAATCCTGCCGATGACCCCACTCGAAGCAAACAAGTCCGTGCTGCAACAATTGCAAAACCGCATTGGTGGCAAGCAGTGGAGTCAGGTAGTAATTTTGAGCTGGGACAATGGTTGCGGCGGCATGGAGCGAGTGATGATTTTTCTGGAGTTGACCTGGGAGAGCTGTGTGGCGATGATGCCATCGATTTGCGCCCCCAGAGGCTTGTGAGAAGTGATCCTTTGCAGCGAGAGAAACATGTTGCTCATGTCCCGCCTTCAGGTCGGGAAGGTTTTTGCTGCCCCTTTGGTGACGCTGCGCTTGATGTTTTGAGATCTTTCAAGAAGAGCCAATTTGTGGTGAAAGAAGGAGAACCTGATTTCACGAAAGCTGGAGCGCTGGATCTCTTTTCGGGAAGGTGCGGAGTAGCTCGACAAATGGTGAAGTTGGGCGTGCCCTGGGTGCTGACTTTCGATTGGAAGCGGTGCCCGAGCGAAGACCTGCTGGACCCTGAGCTTAGAGGCAAGATCGAGTTGCTTTTTTCGTAGTGGGGCTGTCCTGTCCCTTGGAGCTGCACCTATATCCAGTTTCTCTGTAGCGGTGACTCCTCCTGTCCGAAGCAAGAAGTTCCCGAGAGGCATCCCAGGCCTTAGGAAAACTATGCGGCTCAAAGTCAAGCAAGGCAACTCACACAATGACTGGCTGGCAAATCTGCTAGCACTTTGCGAGTCACTTGGCGTCACTTGGTGGGTTGAAAATCCTGACACCTCGTGGTGGTGGAGACAGAGGCGGTGGAGGAAGCGTAGGGACTCTCGGAGCTCAACCTTGTTCCGCCTATGCTTTTGCCGGTTCGGCTGCCGATGGAAGAAGCCAACGCGCATAGCGACAAACACTGCTTTGGCTGGAGTGCGCATGTGGTGTCAACGCACCCAACGACATCTTCAGCTGCGTGGCACCTGCAGCGCCAAGAAGCTTCCTTGGACGCAGATAGCTGAGCCCTATCCTAGAGGATTGCGCTTGATGCTCGCTGCCGCGGTCTCCACTGCAGTTGGTTGGACTAAGAAGGATCGTTTGAATGTCGCCGCCTGCTCAAAGACAGGTACCTTGCGGGCAGGAGAAGCTCGAAAGCCGGGGCCTCGACCAAAGAGAACGAGGCAAACCTTTTCTTTAGAGGAAGTCAACACTGTCAGTGCTGCAACTTTAGCAATTCAAAGCCGGATGCTTCAACAGTTTTTCACTTGGTGTGCCCACGGAACCGGAGATCGTGATTTCTTTTTGCTGTTCAATAAACTACCTGCAGCCCTTCCCCAGTGTTTGAGGTGCTATGGAGATTTGATGTTTCAGCAAGGAGGATCGATTTTCAACCTCCGACATCTTTTGTTGGCTGCTCAAAGATGGTGTCCGGCCGCACGGCCGTATATGCAAGCTGCTTGGGAGATAGTTGACCGCTGGGAGACTCAAGTCCCGGTAGTTCACAGGACACCTGTCCCGGAAGTGCTGGTCAAAGCCATGTGTGTGATGGCGTGGCATTGTTGCTGGTACAGCTGGGTTGGAGTCACACTGTTGTCCTTCTACGGGGCTGGTCGACTGGGAGAAGTTTTAGCTTGCAGACGCAGCGACCTTCTGCTACCTGAAGATTTGTGTGAGACGACGCTCGTCGCCTTCCTTCAGCTCAGAAAGTTCAAGTCGCGGAGGAGAGTAGCAGCCAAAGTCCAGCACATGAAGGTCAGCGATTCAGCGGCCGTCATACAATGATCTTCGGCCACCTCCCATGTGAAGAGATGCTTTATCCGCAAAGCCCATACCACTATCGAAAAAAATGGGACCTCCTCCTTGAAGACCTCTCTCTGCCGAAGAAAGCCCACCTAACTCCAGGTGGCCTGAAGCAGCGGTGATGCATTATAAAAATGGGCGACCCATTGCTGACCTGTTGTGGCTGATGAGGCTGCGTAGTCAAACCACCCTTGAGTCGTACTTGCAAGAAGTTGCTGCGTTGAATGCCCTTTCTTTGTTGACACCTACCTCACGAGAATTCATTAAAGATGTGGCCCTGACCTTTAAGCTGCTACACTTTACTTCCAACTCCAGGGCCAAAGACAAACGCAGATGGCTTTAGTCTGCACTGGTCAAGACGTGACCTGGACCGTGTGCCTGTAGAGTGGATGAGCTGACTCCTTTACTTTCAGCTCTGGCTACCCTTGAAAGCAGTTGAACGCAGAGCTTCGTGGCGATGCCGTCACGACTACGGAAGCTCCAACCTGCGACTTCAGCCTACCTTGTATGGGCACGATGGAAAAGAGTGGCAGCTGTTTTTTGTGCACGTGAAATGGAGTTGCAAACATGCCTTCAATGTTTTCAATGGAATGGCGCTAGCTTTCTCGGCCCTGATCCCGCCTCCCCTGGGACTGGCCCTCCTGGCAGTGGATGAGCTGACTCCTTTACTTTCAGCTCTGGCTACCCTTGAAAGCAGTTGAACGCAGAGCTTCGTGGCGATGCCGTCACGACTACGGAAGCTCCAACCTGCGACTTCAGCCTACCTTGTATGGGCACGATGGAAAGGAGTGGCAGCTGTTTTTTGCGCATGTGAAATGGAGTTGCAAACATATATATATATATTATAGTTATATATATTCAAGTTTCAGGCCAAAAGGGCCGACGAGCACCTGATCTAGAAAAGGTTCGAGAAAAAAACCTATATATATATATATGTACATATAACAAGAGATCGATACTGCACCGCAAATGAAGCCACATGGTTGTTGAGTACTTCAAGTCGCATATTTTTGACAAATAGAACTTCTGGATCTGGACTGAAGGAGCTTGGGCAGTTTCAGCTTCTTGGTCCCTACCAAAACCATCAGGCCGCCCTTCTGCGACACCTGAGACCTTTCAACATGTTTCCTTGACAGGTGATTTGCAATCTTGGAGAGCCATGCCTTGTGATCTTGAATGGCGTTGGCTTGGACAATTCAAGCCGCCAGCCTTTGAAAAAAATTGCCCACTTGATGTGAAAATTGCCAGACGAAGGGTGCTGGAGTGCCGTTGTGAGGTTGGGTGCTAGCCCGTTGCCCAGTCAACGGGATCGCATGTGCTACTTCAACCCTGTTCAATGTTCAACCTATTTAACCAAAAGCTGGATATGTCCAACTGGGCATGTGGCACATTTGTTTTGGGCGGATGGTCACTCTTCTCTTGGAACAACGAGGCCGCTGCTGCCAATGGGTCCTGCAACGTGTCGAACGAGACGCTCGCGGACTTCCAGGGTTTTGCCAATCCCGTGAAGTTTGAGGCCCCAGAGATGGCGTCTGAGCCTCCAAGCAGTCACGGTTTGGAAGAAGAGCGACGTGCCACCCGAAGTGCCTGGAACCCACGAAGGGGAACTACCCGAAGACTCGGTTTGCAGAGAATGGTGCGTGTTGCCCAGGTATGATGGCTCTCCAGGCCTCGTGAGGAATAGACGCTAGGAATGGATGTTTGCATAATTTTTGATATTTTTTGTGACTATGCGCCTGGGATCACTATCATGATTGCGTGAACCCTCAGTGATTTGTGTAATTTTAAGTCCAACATCAAGACTTAAGGCTCCAAATCCATGATCTTGAGCATTGGAGTGCTTGGTGTATTTTGATCCATTTTCTGAGATCAGCTTCCCATTTCTTTTGACCTCAGGGGAAAGTGCATCTTTTGGGCTGGGCGAAGCCATAAATGGCACTGCTCGGCACCAAACAATCAGGCTTTCGTTAGTCAGAAGCGAGTTCTGCATTCTGCATCCAATCTCTTTTGAACCCCGTGGTTCGGAGCGATGTTGTTTGCCACTTTGAATCATGCCTCAGACAGAGGCCGGGAGCTATGAAATTTGCGGGAGCCTCAGAAAAGTGCCAAACCAACTTGTTTTTGCTTGGGAGCTTCGCCCTCCATTAAGGCTGGAGCTCAAGCACTTTGACTTCACCAAGCTTGGACTTATTTGTTGGAAGCTCAGAAAAGGCGGAGAGGCCGTGAGAGGCCTCGTTTGGAAACAGCATGGGAAAAGCATGAAACAGATTGTCTCAGACAGCCTCACAGCCATTGTGCACAATGGCAGGTGACACACGTCGGCTCTTTGGTGGTCAATGGGCCCTTTTTGGCCACATCCATTGACCTCAGGCTGGCTTTGCATACCGATTTGTTTAAACTGAGTTTGGCAAAGAGCACGCTCCATATACTCTCATGGGTTTATGATGGTTGATGTTTTCAAGCAACTGTTTTACTTTTCGCTGCTGGAGATGTCATGAGTCATACATCATTCTGCCAGTTGCTGGGTGCAGTTCGAATGCTCTTTGGCAGTAGCCTCAGCTTGCAAATACATCGCGAGGTGTCCTCCCTATGCCCTATTCTTTCCAATTCCAGGGACCATGCTTGCGCTTGGTGTTTCTCCTTAGACAGGTGGTCGCTGGAGTGGGCCTTTCGGCCCAGAATCAGCTGACCATTGGGCAGCTCGACTGCAACAGCCGGGCACTGAGACTTGCGAGGAAGTCGCAGGCTTTTCATGGCTTTTTTGATGTGCTCCTGAGAGAGAAACTAGGCCAAGTTGAAGTGGCTGGCAAAAAAAGCTCTTCCATGTTTTTACTCGACAGCTTATTGTCGGTCTGGTAGGCAGGAATAAGCAGGTCAATTGTAAAGTTCTTGTACACTCGCTTTTGATTTTCATACATCCGAGATCACGGATTAGCGAATGGCGTATAATGCCATTTTGGCTCAAGAGAGCTCATCCTCAAGTTGTTCAACCCACCCACCACTCCCCATCTAAGATCCCTGGATTGAGGGGAAGGGTGTCAGTGTCCAGTGCTTTGATCTCGATCACTTGGGACTCTGAAAGTCGCTTGCTCTGGCGACCACCATTTGGCACATTGATGGATCTTTGCCAACAGATAGGTCTGCGGCAGCTAGCGCTTGTGGCCGCGACTGATGATGTACTAAGCCCTTTATACTTTCCATTTTTATGAATGATCGCTCCAGCACGTGCAGCTTCGATCGGAGTTGACGTGCATTATTGTCGGACTAGGTGGTCTATTCAGACTGCCTTTTGTTGGAAGATGCCGTCTGCCGTTCTGCTCCGCGGGCGGCATTTTGTGACAAACGGCAGTTTGGAAAGGCACGCTCTGTTCACCAGACGGGGTGTGTTGTTCGACCACACGGTTCAGATCTTCTGATGTGGGCTACCAGATCGAGTAGGTTCAGGTGCTAACCTTCCAACCTAAGTACCCAAGACGCACGGAAAGAAAACAATTGCGAGTTCTCGCTTCTTGCTGTGCGACTTGGTTTTCATATTGTGAGTGGAGGGCTCTGTTCCGAGCCCGGGAAGAGAACTTAATTGGTAATATTATATTGGACACTTTGGATGCTGGCCTCGGCCCATGGCTGCTTTGTCCCATGCTTTTTCCCCGATCGAGGCACCATGCAGTTGGCCATGATCGACGGGTTCTCCAATCCAGCAGCAGCCTTTGCCCACTGTGGTGGAAAGGCTACTAGCCCTTGATGCCACTGAGTCTGACTTCAGGTCACTTCCACCAATGGCACAACATATGTCGGACTCCTGCTAAACATTGGCAAGAACAACCACAAACCTGTACTCGCAAGCTTGGGGAATTGCCAGCTCCACGAAAGAGACAGGTCATCGGAGCTGCTTTGGCTGCCTACCGCGACCGCTTGGAGCTTCACTTAGAGTCTTAGAGAATGTGGAGAGGAAAGCCACGATTTCCACGTCTCAGTGTCTTGTTGCCGGCCGCTTCTGAGGTCCTTTGTTGGCATGCAACATCAACAGCAACTGGCATCCCTCTTGGAACGTCGCCGCCTCATGATTCTTCACCCTTGACCTTGATGCTTCCAAGGCTGCTTCAGAACCTGTCCCACTGAGGCTGATGGTTTATGGTCCTGCCAGCACCAGCATGCTTGTGCTAGGATTGAGCGTTCCATGGGGCTGAGTATTTGGGCTGTGGCAGGTCAATGGTGGGCTGCACATCACCTGCCGTTTGAATGACACGTGCAGCATATCGCTGGCCAATGAGACCATCATTGGGTGCGCCCAGCGCAAAAGACCCTTCACACGCGGACACTGCATTGTTTGTACACTCGAAGGGCTACGGGTGGACTTAACTACTCAAACCCATGATTGCAGACTAGCCTACTGTATATGCTACAGGACACTACAGGATTATAGGACAGTCTGAAAATTGATTGGATCATCCTTGGATGCGGTCAACCCAGCGGAGCCGTGCGGTACAGCGCATGACAGTCATCATGGTTGCGAGGACCAGTTAAGTTTCCCAAAACATCTAGGAAACACATGAATAGTGCGTGAGCTATCCTGCGTCCATATGTAGTAGTTTGCTTATCTTTCTTGGAGGTACCAGCCACCTTAGCGACTCCCTAGCTACTACCTCTACTCGGTCTACCTCCCCTTAAAAGGGAACAAAAAACCTACCGATGTGTCTTCAATCCGGTCGATCCCAATCTATCAGTCTTATATTATATAGTTTGAATCATTTACTTACTTCATGTTTGCAGATCGCTCGCTCACTCAACGCTATTCATATTAATCTAGCAAACTCAATGTACTTACAAATGTGCAAATTTGCACTTTCTATCATTTCCTGCCTTTGCGCCCACTCGTCAGCATCACCGACAGGGGTATGCTTCTGCAGTGAGCTCGAAGGAGTTTCCCTTTACGTCAGGCCCCCATGTGTTGGACCTCAATCCTCTCAGTAGACGGGGTGAGGTACATTGATGACGGCTTCAGCTTGCAAAATCGCCTGCAGCTGGAGAAGCAGGACTCATGCGCGAGCCTGAGGAACCGGTCGGGCGAGTGTTCTTGATGAAAATCACTGCGACATTGTTTGCTTATTCTTTCAAGGAATCTCCTTCTGCTTGATTGATGGGCCGTGGTGTTTTAGGACGACATCAAAGGATCAAGGTTTGAACACGAAGCTTGCTGACAAGGTGACAACGCCCACCTCTCAAGCATTTTCAAGCTATAAATTGCATCAATTTCTCATGATGTTGTCAGCTAAAAGGCTCCAACGACATTGTCATACATGGCAGAAGCGCAATTCTTTGCTGTATTTCAATATTCTTATTCTTTTCAGAACAATCACTTTTCTATTAACATCTCTCTCTCTCTCATCTGGTTGCCTTCCACCCTACCAATGCGACCAGCTCAATTCCTACACTCTGTCGGCCTGCTTTGTGTTGCGTTTTGTCAGGCACTGGCATTCCGGCCTCGCTCTGGGGCAACTTGAGCCAACCTGTCTGAGCCCTTGTGTGTGTGTGTTTGTTCACAAGTGTCAAGCCAATGCTTTGCTTGCACACAGGTGTGAATGCGCACCACGCACATGCCTTGCGAAACCTGGTCAATCCCGGGCATCACGGCGCCAATGCTCAATATTCATCGTTAGTCGATGGGTACCGCCAAAGGTAATCGTTGACGCTTTCCATTATCCAGTGACAACGCATACACACAACCACATGAAGGAAATATAGAAGCTGCAGACCGCAGCACATGACAGCAGCAGATACGAACTTGTCCCCTCTTTTCCTTTTCCCCAAACAGTTTACTGTTAGGGGTTCTCAATTCTTTCTTAAGATGTGTCCGCCCTTTGTGTCACTGCTACTGCTGGTGTCCGTCCTTTTCCGCTGGCCATGTAGCATTTCTATATTCATTTGTCCCCCAGGTCTGTCCTGCTGGTGTCCTGCCCTTTTCCGCTGGCAATGCAACATGATGCAACATTTCTATTCATTTGTCTCCCAGGTCTGTCACTGGTGGTGTCCGCCCTTGTCCGCTGGCCATGTAGCGTTTCTATTCATTTGTCTCCCAGGTCTGTCGCTGCTGGTGTCCGCGCTTTTCCGTTGGCCATGTAGCGTGTATATTCATTTGTCTCCCAGGTCTGTCCGCTCTTTTCCGCTGGCGATGCAGGTCACTGTGTCCGCCTTGTCTCCCTTCATTCTTTCTTTGTCTCCGGTCTTGTCTCCCTTCTTGATCATTGTGTCCGTCTTGTCTTCCTTCTGTTTCCTTTTTTCTCCCTTCTTCTTGGTCATTGTGTCCGCCTTGTCTCCCTTCTGTCTCCCTTTGTCTGCGGTCTTGTCTTCCTTCTTGTTGGGCACTGTGTCCATCTTGTCTCCCTTCTGTTTCTTTTTGTCTCCCTTCTTGTCTCCCTTGTTGTCCCCCTTCTTGTTGGTCATTGTGTCCGCCTTGTCTTCCTTCTTTCCTTTACATTTGCCTCCTCTCTCCCCCTCTCGCTTGCAACCCTTCACATTTGTCTCCCAGCTGCTCTGCCCTGCAATCCTTTACATTTGTTTTCCAGCTCTGGGCTGCGGGTCGCTTGCAGCAATCCTTTACATTTGTCTCCCAGCTCTGGGCTGCTGTGTCCGCCTTTGCGCAATCCTTTACATGTGTCCCAGTGCTGGGCTGCTGTGTCCGCCTCTGCCTTGCAATCCTTCACATTGTCCTCGCAAGCCTTTGCATTTGTCTCCCAGCTCTAAACTGCTGTATCCGCCTCTGCCTTGCAATCCTTCACATGTGTCCTCGCAAGCCTTTGCATTTGTCTCCCAGCTCTAGACTGCTGTATCCGCCTCTGCCTTGCAATCCTTTATTTTTCATCCAGCTCTGGGCTGCATGTCGCTTGCAATCCTTTGCATTTGTCTCCATGTGTCTACATTTGTCTCCCAGCTCTGGACTGCTGTGGCCGCCTCTGCCTTGCAATCCTTGGTCTCCCAGCTCTGGACGTCGCAAGCTCTAGTTGCAGAGTGTTCCGACTTTGAAAAACACAAACTGTTTGGGGCCTACGGTGGTGTAATTGTTTTTTGTCTCATGGATACGAAGGAAACTATTGTGTCCAGGTGGTGCCAAGCGCCACTCTTGTGGCCAACTTTTCATCGCTTTTCTTCGACTTGTTCGCACCCACGGCCAACAACGTGACAGCGGCGGATGAGGCAGCGAATGGGTTATCAAAAGGTCGGTTGTCAAATGCAGTTTTCTCATGTTTTCTCATTGTTCAAGGAAAACGGTTCACTTCAAATCCTGGAGAAATAGGATGTGACACTCGGCATTTTGCACCATGTTTCTCTACATGGTTTGCGTGTGTTTGCGTATATATGCAAATTTTGGCGAGGTGTTAGGCGCGTACTCTTTGTGCTTGTCATTGGGAGATGGACCCTTTGCCATGAAGCTAGGTGCGCTGTTCTTGCCGTGGTTGTTGGCTTGCAAGTCATCCATTGTAAATTGGGTTCATTCTTGCTTGATTGTAGAACCTTGGCAGGCCTTCTCCTCATTGAAGACGTGTTTGTGGCTCAGAATATCCTGGGGCTTCAGTCTAGTTCTAAAGGCCGATTCGTCATCTTCGCATGTCTTCAGGTTCTGTGCAGCACCTGAAGGCATTGTGCAGGCGCTGGAGCCTGCTTGCTTGCCGCGACCTCGCCACGCCACATGGCAACCTCAGGAATGTCGTGCAAACCTCAATGGTGTGATTGAGGTCTTCAACCACCGGCCTGTCTGTCGGAATCCAAGACTGGCCCTGGGGGGGTGTCTTATGGTGCCTTCACATGTTTGAAGACTGGCAGGCCTCAAGCCTCCGACACGGTGAGAGTTGCATCACGCAGTGCGACGCAGAGTCCACCGAATCGCTGGGGCTCCAAATCGCTGGGCTCCAAATCGCTGGGCCCAACTTTGAGCGGTTTTGCAAGGCTCAATTCCTTGGATTGCGTCTATGGTGAGCTGCAGCCCGCCAGCATCACTCTTAGATGTTGTGATTGAATCATGTTGGATATAGGATATACATTGATATACATATATAACCTATATAACGTAAAACACAAAATTGATCAATATTATTAGTTGCACTCAGCAACCACATTTGCCACAGTTCTCAACGCATTTCCTGGGGCTGCAAGGCTTCGAATGCTTCAGGCAGGGGACGGGACAGGTGAGACCCGAGGAAGGTCACAACATCACTTGTTCTGTGCCTGTAGGGCCTGTAAATGATTTTTTCTAGAAGCATCCTTGCTCCTAGTAGTAAGGCCAGGAGCCTCTAGTAGCGTCCTTGCTCCTAGTAGCGATGCCAGGAGCCCCTAGTAGCTTCTTGTTACTAGTAGTAAGGCTGTGCCTGTAGGGCCTGTAGGGTGTAAATGATTCGTTGCCAGGTCATGCACCACGGCTCCTGTGGTGAACAACGGCCTCAGTTGGAAACTCGGACGACCAGTCATGTCTGACGCAAAACGTTTTTTTTCCCTTCCTTTAGGCCTTTGCTCTTTTTGCTGTCCTGTTTCTTTCATTTGTTTTGTTTAGAGTTTAGACCTTTATCGCCTTGGTTTTTTAAATCCTGGTCCTTTTCCCTTTCCTTCTTTAACGAAGAACATAACGGTGAGTGAGGCCATGAATCCTGCGCTGGCCTGCTTCACGGTGCAGTGTGCGATTTGCAATGTGCAGCCTGGAGCTTGTCAAGCTCTTCCAAAAAGGGCAAAGTAATGGCTTCCGTCCGTTGGGGCAATTGTACAATAGTCTTGGTTTGACAAGAATGTCAATCTTTAGTATGAACACCATCTCTCAATCAGCACTGATTCCATCATTCTGCAGATTTATTCCTTCTATTCGCGTTACCCTGATCCCATTGTTTCTTGCAAAACCAAGGCTAACACTGTGGCAAGTGGCTACCTCTTATGCAACTTTGGCTTCTTCATTCACAAGGCCGAAACCGCCTAGAAATTGGGTTTGGGCTTCCATGCAGCTGTGCAGGCACTGTTGCCGGGTGAATTTCTCTTTGGTGTTGGAGCCCCAAAGATGTCAACTTCATCATTCGCAGCGTCAAGCAAGGTTCGGGGAGGTTTGTCCATGCTGCAGATTGGTCGCAACAGAAAGCTAGGAACATTGTTTGCTAGTTTCACATTGCATGGCAAACCATTGCAAACAAGGTTCCTCGCTGCTATCAAAGCTGCGATGCCACAACAGTTTGTGGGGTGGGAGTGCTCGGTGAAGCCGCGCCAGATTCAGATGCGCTGCGAGATAGTTGTGAAAGCCCAGTTGACGAATGAGGCTGCCTACGCGCTGTTGCCTCATGCTGAGAGTTGCCAAGTGGCGTGGCCCTTACCGCCGCAGACTGAAAATAGGAAAGACGCTTGACTTTCGTGCCTTTGCATTGGAGTTTGGAAAGACTTCACACGCTCACACACGCAGAGAATGGGTACAGAATCCTTCTACAGGTACAAACTTTGGGGGTAACACACTTGGAGCCTTGATCATCCTTGATCATACAAATACCAACACCATGTGGAGGGGGAGACCAGATGCAATCGTGTCATATCATGTCCATGCCACCAAGGTTTGCCCCAGTGGTTCAAGGCCGGACACGTCCACGGCGGGCGGCTCAGGTTTCCAAGATGTGTGAATTGGGGTTTGTCTCAATGGGCTCCTGACAATTCCTGCCATTTTCTAGATGTTAGTTCTTCCAAAGGTGCCGAGATGTGCTATTAACAGATAGAAACGAAGCATTGTACTGTACAGGCGAAAACAACATGGGGCCAAGCAAAGAATTAAACGCATAGACCAACGCCTTTCGGGGATCTCGGAAGCGGTGTCGGTTTTCAATTTTCCTGAGGTGAGCTGCCGAGATGGAACACTGGACCCTCCCAGCTGCCTGCCTAGTTTGCTTTCACTTCAAACAATTGAAATGGAGATAAATTGAGTAGATTATATAAAGAAAATAACACCCCGCATAATGATACATAATGAACCATAATGAAAAGCTTCCAGATTCTCTACTAGGGGCTCGGGGTGTCACATTTTTGTTCTGATGCCAGCACCTGAGCTTGAGACGGGCAGAGTGGTGCTTGTCAAAGGCCCTGAATGTTTGGCCGGATGCACCAGTGGCCCAGATGTACAGAATGCCACCAACACGAACGAATGCGTCAGGTTCTCAAGATTGCTTTTCACATCCGCTTTTTGGCAACATCCATTGATTAAGGGATCCGTGGTGAGCGGAACGGCGTGTTCAATTCGATGTCAGGCGAGAGGTCTGCGTGTCAGTGTCGGCCATGTGTTTCCCGGTGTTGGATGTTGGACATTTACCGTTGCAGCAACGTGCAGGCAGGCTATGCCAAGACTGGAGACCCAGCAGGGCTGCCTAGTCCTACTCTTTGGACATCGACACTATCTTAAAAACATAGGGCCGACCAAAGACCCCTGAGAACATCGATCAACAGATGATGAATACAGATTGATTTGGAGATCTCATTTGCACACGTGGCACTTGGAGACACCAAGATTTTTGAGGTTTGCACACGTGGCACTTGGAGCATCGAGCGCTGCTTAGCTCCTTGTGTGCCCCCTGCGGTCAGCGCCCCAGATGAAGCAAGTGAGAGATGGTCGAATTTGCGTTTGGCCTGAAGTGACAAACAACTGGATCCACCTCTGACAGTTGCTCCTGTGGCATTCACAGATATGTGATGTGAGACGAGCAAGGTGGCCAATACCACGGATGGGTGGAGCAGCTGTCCCCCGGCCTGAATGAGCTATCGGCTCTGTTCTCGAGCAAACATTTTATCTATATCTATACTACTGTCTAATGACTTAGGCCAACGTGATGCAAGTGACATACCAATCTGGCTACCCGCAGGACTAAGTCATGTGCCCTGACATATCGAGCAAAAAAAAAGTCTGGGTTGGGAAACCTGGTGTCATAGGACCTGTGGACACCTCCTCGACAAAAAAAGACAGCTAAATAATGCTAGATATCACTGCCTGGCACCCTGGTGACACAGTGGTGACATAAGGTGCGACTATGTGTTTTTGCGGGCGCCTTGAATACCTCATACATATTTCTATGAATATCATGGTTGTGGCCTGATGACATAGGCCTTAAGAGGAAATGCCAATGTTGGATCAATCCTGATGACATAGGCTTTTGGAATTGGCGTGTATGTCCGACAAGTCCTAAGTTACTAGTCAGTAGTATATATAGTCTAGTTGCCAACGTCAAATTAGGGAAACCGAAAAGGCATTTATCAACAGCATCGGTTGCTCTGCCAAGCAGACTATCCAAACTGACTTGATGTGTTTGCAGGCAATGGGATCATTGATGGAGGGGTTGCCACACCCTCGGATATCCCCAGATTGATGATCATATTGCGCACCTTCAGAAGCGCCCAATGGATGGAATTTCTTGTTGGCAGGTGCCACACAGTGTGCCTTGTACTCCAGCATGTAAGACAGGCTCCGGGTTTGTCTTTGTGAGGTGTTAAACATCGGATTAAATCGGTCAGTTGGGCCAAAACCTTAAACATGACAAGAGATGCGGTGAGACATGTTTCCCCAAACAGTGCTGTAACACTAGGGGTTCTAACGGTAGTTGTTGAGGACGGGTGTCCGATCGAGGTGCTCATCGACGTGTGCGGCCAATCGCTGCCATTTATAGTGCATTCATTCACATCGAGATCTTCGAAGTGCATTTCGACTGCGCAGGCTCGCAGAATCTGGTGGGCTGGCGCGGGTGCTCTTCGAGACTGCGCTCTCGTTGTGCTGTCGTGCACATTTTCGGGCTTGGTGATCAGTTTTCGTGGCAGGCGCAGGGGAAACCTCGCTTTTTGGTGGTCCAAAGGCGGTGGGTGTGCTCTGGCTTCGTGGCAGGTGCAGTGAAGTGGGATTTTTGCACACGTGGCTCGTTTTCAGAATTTCAGAGATCGCAGGAAGTCTCAAGCGAAAGCGGGAGAGGTTTAAAAAATACGGATCAAGAATAAAAGTAAGCATCAAGAATAAAAGAGCACAAATTGATAAGCGTCAAGATTAAAAATAATCATCAAAAAAGTGATTGCTTGGTGACCGGTCCCCTGGTCCTTTGGTCGTTTGGTCCCCTGGTGCTTTGGTCCCCTGGTCCCTTGGTCCTTTGGTCCTCTGGTCCCCTGGTCCTCTGGTCCTCTCATCCTCTAGTGTCCTGGTCCTTTGGTCCCTTGGTCCTTTGGTCCCCTGGTCCTCTAGTCCCCTGACCCCCTGGCCCCGGAACCTCTGGCCCGAAGAAGCTCAACTGCAAATACGCCCAAGTATATAATTCCTCTCTTTGTCTTTCCTCACTGCTTCTCTCCTTGTTTTTTCCTGTCCCTCTCTCCCTCTGTTGCGCTCTCCTGCTACATTACTTTATCCTTTTGCTGCCGCTGCTGCTTTTGAAACATGCTGTCTATACTTTGTTTGCATTGCGGGGTAGGCGCTGCGCCCTCCCCCGAACCCCCTCCCCCTTCTTTAATCACAAAAGAAAGCTCCAAGCCAAGCTTAAAGAAACTCTAAAGAAGTGAAGCCCTAAGCGAAGCCCAAAGAAACCCTGAAAGAAGTGAAGCCTCAAGCCAAGCGCAAAGAAATCCTACAGAAACAAAGCCCCAAACCAAGCCCAAGAAAGCAATCCACTACTACTACTACTACTACTACTACTCCTCCTCCTCCTCCTATACTCCTACTGCTACTGCTACTAATACTCCTCCTCCTCCTGCTTCTGCTGCTGTTGCTGCTCCTCCTACTCCTACTACTCTTACTACTACCACTACCACTACCACTACTACTACTACTACTACTCCTACTACTAGTGCTAGTACTAGTACTAACTACTACTACTCCTCCACCTCGTCCTCCTCCTCGTTCTGCTGCTGCTACTGCTGCCCCTACTTGGATGATCTGGGGGTTGCTAGACATTTAGCATCCTTTAACATAATTACATTAGAAATTAACATAATTAGCTTTGATTAGCTAAGGGGTTAACTTGCTTAGCAAAATCAATTTAGCTAAGGGGTTAGCTAAGGAGTTAGCTAAAGAGTTAGCCAACAAGTTAGCTCCAAATTTTGCATATTTACCTCTATATTTTTCATTTGAATTTGCATAGAAAAGTCCTATTGTTGGACAATGTCAAACTGTGCGTTTCATCATAAATGAAAACAAAAGCAGAACATGACAGCACATTGACTTGTTAAACATGCACCCATTGCCACTTCAATTCTGCAGAAAAACAAAACCCAAGTTTCACAGCAAAGACATAACTTGAGCTTTGTAAAGCTATACAGCTTTTTGTGGCAGAGCTTTGCCAAGGCTGGCCTCTCTCTCTCTCTATATATATATATATGGACTTGTGGATCATTGGGCAACTCTATAAACATTGAGTTTCACAAATAACATTGAATTTCACAAATATCAAATAAAAGAGCCTCCTTGGAGCCTTGCATGTGGCTTGCTAAATGAGCTTGTGGGCAGCTTACATGAAGGATTTGTTGAGGCAAGCACACATTTTGGAGTCTTCCATTGCATGTTGTAGTCTTTGTGCAACAGGTTGGCTTGGCACCATGTGGTCACACAGCATGGGAATTCATATCCTTTTGTGACACCAATGCCAAAGGAGCAATGTACGAATGTCTTCAGAAGGCAGAGTGATATAAATCAAAGGGCTCATGATGTCTTGGATGCCGATGAACTGCTTGGAGGAAGTAGCTTTCCAAGCTGCTGAATTTGTAGAAGCATCCACTGCCTGCAATTGCAGCATTTGCACCAAAGCCCAGATGGATGGCTGATTCTTCAACTGGCAGAACATCCAAACTGCTTGTGGTTCTGTGCTCTGCAAGAGCGCCAAATCTCCTTTAGAACATTTCCCATGCAGAAGCTTCGCTTCCTTGCTTGTCAAAATGCTCTCAATGGGGCATTGCAAGTGAGAGGCCAACAGCTTTGCAGTTTTCTTTGATGCCAAGTGTGGGTTCAGCAGGTGGGGTCCAGGAAGAAACAGCTCATTGTTCTTGAGCTTGGCCAACTCTTCTGCCACAATTTCTTGGAAAAGGGATTGTTCAAAGCTCACTGTATTGTGAATGGCTGTGGCAAACTTCTTGACAACCTTGTTTTTACGCTCGCATGTAAAGCAGCTGGGTAGTTTGCCCCACCTTCCAAGCTGGTCTGACATGTGTAGAGGCCAATGAAATTTGGGTGTTAAATGCCACCCACACTTGGCAGCCAATGCCAGACTTTGCTCCACACTTCCCAGCAGGAGTTCTTTGGATGCAAGCCCCCACATTTGCCCTTCAGACAGAATAAAAATCACTTCTGCCATGGCTAAAAAAGCCAAGCACTGATCATTGTATTTCCCAAGGGGCAATAGCATTTTTTCTGCACCAGAAAACCATAATGGGTAGTATTGCCAACACTTCAGATGCTTGGAGCTGTAGCCTTTGGTGTTGTTTGTACTTTTTGATTCTCTTCCCATCAAAAAGCTCATGCAAGTGGTTCATGGACCAGTGAATTGGCAAATGCCATTTGGTCAAATATTTGCCAAAGTTCTCCCAAGATACAGCTGGTAGAGCAGCGAAAAGCTCATATGCAGCTACACTGAAAGTGCCATTGGAGCATGTGCCATGCATCCAATCATGAGCAAATTGCTCAGCTGGTTGCAGAAGCCCTGCTGCCCTGATACCCTTGTCCAGTGGTAGAATGAGGGGATGGTATGTTTTCCCAACAGCCTTTTGCCAGAGCAAAAAATCCTGCTTGTTGAGCTCTTTCTTCTTGTCTGACAGCCTATCATAAGAAGACAAAATCTCTTCAGAAGTGAAAATTCTCAAGTCAGAATATTTCAGGTTGCTTGCACATTGGACCTCATCTTCATCATCTTTGCTTGCAAGTCTGTCAGCTTTCAAATTGCATAAGAGACATGGCTTCAGAGCTGCATCACCTCTGTAAGACCAACAGAACTTGTGGCTCCCTCCATCCTGCAAGATGACTTTCAGATCCAAAAATATCTTCAAAGATGGCTCCCCAGGCAAGAGGAGGCCCAATCTAGGGTCACAAATGTCATCCAAAAAGATTGATTTGATCACTGCTGCAAACACCTGAGAAATTCCTCCTTGCAGCTTTTCAACTTCAGAGGATCTGAGATGCATGACTGGGAACCAAGAAAGCTCTTGGGAGAGCTCATCAAGGCTGAATTCCAAAATAGAAGAGTAGATTGCCCATGTTTTCCTGGTGGCCCTGGCTGCTAGCACATTACCTGCATTAACTTCATCCATGTACAGGATGAGCCCCCAAGGCTTTGAGAAGGAGCATGGGTAAGATGCCATTGTTCTTCTGAGAACCTCTTTGAAAGAAGGTGATTCAGAGAATAGAGCAGCCAAATAACTCTTCACATTCAAAGCTGGAAATGTGTTCACAGAGCCATCCAGGGCTTCGACTTGAATTGATGCCTTCAAAGGGCCATATGGGTATTCCACCTCCAAGATTGCTTTGGTTGCCCTGGTAAATAGTGGTCTTGAAGATTCCTTTGGCAAGCCATTCTCTCTGATGTCCTGGCAAATGGCATTCAGAGCACTTTGACTGACATAAGGTGTGGATCTTCTCAATTGCTCTAGCCTCCTGTATTTGGCAGGAGGCCCATGGGATGAAGAGGAAGCCATGTTTGGGCCATGTTTGGACAAAGAACCCCTTTGTGGGGCATGCTACATTGAAATCACTTAGGCAACCGTCATGTATGTTGAGAAGGCTTGTCACTCCAGACTTTGTGTGCCAATAATGGGTACTGGGGAAACAATGTGATTGAACAACTTCATTGCAGTTTTGGTGGTGCTACCATAAAAGTGGCTGCCAGGTACTTGAACAAAAACTTCACAGATGCATGTTGCTTAGCAAGCTTCAGCCCACAACCAAAATCATTGAGCTTCCAAAAATGCTTTCTTGAATGAGCTTCATACAGCTATGTTGAGCCTACACAGTGCTTAAAAAATGAGCTTGTACACAGCTAAGTGGTTTCTTTGGGATCAGAGTAATCCCTTATTTTCTGGTGACCTCAGCTGTCTGATGTTTTTGCACAAAAGATTCCAAGCATAGCTTAGACATGTGCAGTGTTCCCCTGCAAGAATAGGCTAAGCAATCTTGATGTTCAGCAAACAAATTGTTTCAGTGGGATGTCAAGACATGTGGTTCAGTTTTGCACCAAAACATGCTTGCCTTTGAGCTTGCTTCCCCAAATCCTACTGCATGGGCAATCACTTCCAGCTTTTGCCATCCTTTGCCAAAGCTGCCTTCCAAGCTTCCCTTCCATTGCATCTTAAGCCAGCAAAGTCTTTCTTTCTGCAGGACAAGCATCCTTTCACATTGCGTCGACATCGAAGACACCCCCAGCAGTCCTGGTCCTGCTCTGCAAGGTCTTGAGGTGCCACTTGCACACTGGCTGCAGGCCTCTTCAGCACACTGGCTGCAGGCCTCTTGAGGACAGCACCCTTGACATTTTTCTCCTTTGGCTTTGTGGTGGGGTTGGATTTGGGCATTGTCTTCTCATTTTTCAGTTCTTGAAACTGCTCCTCTTCCAAATCAGGTAAAGCCACTTGGAGCTGGTCATTATCCATCCTGTCACCATTGTCCTGTTGCTTACTTGCTTCAGAGCAAGTAAAGGAGTTGGCAGAAGGCAAATTCAGCAAGGCTTTGGGCTTCATGTTCTCAAGGCTGTTGGCACCTTCCACTGACAGAGGCTTTGACAAACTCAAGCAAGGTCTTGCCACAGTGCCAGGGGCCTGACTTCTATCGCCCAGCAGCCTCTCCAACTTGCAACTTAGCTGGCCCACCACTCTGTCAGCCACTCTGTCCTCCAAATCCTCTTCTGCCAGTACAGAACTCTTTCTCTTGAGCTTCTTGTCAAGAACCTTGCTGCTGTCTTCTCTCAGCAGCCTACTGGTGGACCTGACTGGGATATGATGCAGCACCAAGAAGTTGAGGTCTTCCAAGTGCTTGGAAACAGGTGGGTCTTCATTGTCATAGGCTGTGGCCACAAAGCTTTCATTGACCATGGAAGGCTGCACGGGGTAGGTGAGGACGCAAGGCACCCCTGGGGCTGCTTGGTGAGAAGAGCTCAAGAAAGCACTTGAGAATTGCTGGGCTGTGTCATAGATGGCCTTGTAGGTGGGAAAGGGTTTGCCCTTCTCCATTTCATTCAGAACCATAATGGCAATGCACCTTTTCTTTAAGCTTTCTTTGAGGCTCTTGACACCAATTTTCTTCAGCCTGGCAATCAAAACATTGGCTGCCTGCCAGAAGGGCAGTTCCTTGAAAGCTTTCCAGTCAGAAGCAGTCAAGTAGTTGGTCAGATGGTCACATGTTTGTGCCTGCAAGGACAGCTTGACAGCAGACTGGTGGCTGTTTTCAATGACCAGCTGGTCACATTAGGCTAACAAATCATCTTTGCAACCATCAGGTAATCCTGATTCATCCAAGTGCTGGGAAAGCTGGAGGACCTCAGTGGTGGTCAAGCTGGAAGCTTTCATTTTGTGTTCCAGCTGCTTAACCAAGGAGGTAGCCGTGCTGCTACATTGGGCACCCCTTTTGCCAAGCATTTGCACCATGGAGGTGACCTCCTGCTTCAAGTCTTCCAATTGCCATTGGCCAGGCATGGCTGACTGCAAAGTGACACAGCCAATGCTTTACATAAGCTTGGGAAGGTTGCAGCTGCAGAAATGAGTGGCAATAGAGCAAGCCTGTAAAACACAATGGTGCTTGAAGCCTGCAGGCCTGGAGAACAAATAAAGCAGCTTACGGTTAGCAAAAAAAAAGCAACCAGCAGTGAGCCTAGAAAGGCTGAAGTGAATATGCCTAGCAAAGCTAAAATAAATGAGCCTAGAAGGGCTAAAGAATTGAGCTTTGAAAGGCTGAAAACTTGAGCCTTCGAAGTGGCCAAAAGCAATGGGCTTATATAGAGCTGAAAAACAAAGAGCTTAAAAAGGCTTCAACATTGAGCCTGCAAAGGCTGAAAGATTGAGACTACAGAGATGCTACTAGATGTGAGCTTGGGAAAGCAAACAGCATGAAACCTGTGCTTAACATAAGCAAATACTTTGCAACAATCATCCAATGGCTAGTAAAGTAGCTATACCAGACTTGATCAGACTAATGCAAAAAGCACACGATTGTTTTTTCAGCAAAGCTGTAGGTTGTCATTTCATTGTCTCTACAGACTGCACATCAGCAGTTGGTCTCTGCATTGCTAGCCTCACATTGTTGTGGATCATGCACAATGCAAAGTGTGAATACAAAATTTTCAATAGAGCATTCAATCTTGGCAAAAACATGCAAACATAAAGCATCCCAGGCACTGTATTCAGAGATTGTGTCATAGTACCACTCAGAATGGTTTGCTCTCATCATCCATTGCAGCTGGCCATTGTGTCCATAGATCAAATGGTATAGCTCAGGTGAATCAATTTCAGGAGCTGGAAAGCCAAGCAAGTGCTCATGCAGTGCTCTGAACATCATGACTTGAGCTCTGTTTTGGTCGCCAAAGCTTTGCCAAGCATCATCAAGACCAATTCCTGTGAAGTAGCCACACATTAACCATGCTGGCACCCATTCTTGCCACCCATGAAGGAAAGTCCAGACCCACCAAATCCACCCTTGAGATGCAACAAAGTGCCCACTGATGATTGGGTCAGCATGGCTGGCTTTTGGAAGTAGAGGCATGACAGAATGTGTGATAGTAAATGCATTTGCAAATCTAATTTACAAATCTATTTGCTACTTATTGTAGGCTGTACAGCAACAAAACTTAATTTCACAAACATAAATATTGCTTTAGCTTTACTTTGACATACTATGTTTCAGAATTGCTAATATATGTGCCATTTGTAGTCTAGTATCACATCTAGTTTCATGTAGTTGTGAAAAATAACAATGAGTTCTGGAAACTAATCTGCAAAGACATACTGCAGCATACACAACTTCACAAACCAAATATCAAAATATAGTTAACAAATGTAGATATTAAAGTTTGCCAAATATAAGACTAACAGCATTGCTATTCTAATTTGAGACGCACATGTAGTTATTAATAGTTTTTAATGTTTTATCGAAATACTAAAATAAAAGTATATATATAATATTTTTGTTTGAACACAAATCATAAATATAGTTTTTATTTAATATTAAGAGTGCATTTAAATATATATATATATATACAGTTTGTTTTGAATATAAACATATTAATGTTTTGTTTGTTTGGGGGGAAATTTTAGCAATTTTTTAAAAATCAATATAACTATTTTCTTTTATATGTAATTTAGTATCTAAAATGTACTTTTTTGCTTTTAATTTTCAATTTAGCCTATAAATTGAAATTTTGTTTTTTAAAATTTTCAATTTAGCCTATAAATTGAAATTTGTTTTTTTCAATTTTCAATTTAGCCTATAAATTGAAATTTGTTTTTTCAATTTTCAATTTAGCCTATAAATTGAAATTTGGTGTCTTGAATTTTCAATTTAGCATCTAAATTGAAATATTGGTTCTCTAAATGTTGAATGTAATATTTAAATTCTAAAAATAATCTAACATATTCAAAAAATATGTTGATTAAAAATGTTAAACAAAGAAAATATTATATCAAAGCTTAGAAAATCTATATCCTTTGTGAACGTGAAAAACTTAAACATTAAAGCTTACAAAGGTTAAATAATCTATGAGTCTAAAAAGACTTGAACATTTGAGCACACAAAGACTATAATCTTTGAGCCTCACAAGACTTGACCATTGGAGCCTACAAAGGCTATATAGTTTGGTAACATCAAAAAGCTTGAACATTGGAGCCTACAAAGGCTACACAAAGTGAAGAGCCTGTAAAGGCTGATACAGTGTAAAGTAAGACTCTTTTTTCCAGTCTCTCTTCTCCTTGGCTGTAGTCTCAAGTCATCCTACTTGGGCCATGGCAAATATCCAAGTATGTAAAAGGCAGTGATGCCAATGTGCTGGTACAATGAGATCAGAGGGTGTAGCTGTTCCTGTAGTGCAAACCACTGGGACATTCTTGAAAGTTCTTCTTGCATCCTTTGCCACTCACCAACTTGATGCAATGCAGTGAGAACAGCTAATTTGTTTTGGAAGCCGGTCTTCTTCTTCTCTGCCTGATTGTTGAACAAATGAAAACACTCAAAATGATATTGAACTTACAAAACCCAAAAATAAACACAATAACAAAAGTTATACAGATTTAAATATTCAATGTGAGTTGCATACCTAAAGGAATGCCATTGTCCTCTAATATCCTGCCAGTGAAAACCAGTCTGGTCCTTCACAAAACCATTTGGAGCTGAAGCAGTAGAGGTTGGCACAGCTTGTACTCCAACACCTCCCACACAGCCTTGCATCACTGGAGCCTGCTGTTGGAAGTAAGTTTGCTGCTGTGCATAGTTCACTGCCTGCTCATTCTGCACTGGTGTTGCCCAAGGAGGTAGGGTTGTAGGTTCAGGAACTCCTTGCTGCAAGACAGGTGATACAGGTGTCCAAACCGTGGGTGGCCTTGACAGCAAGCCAGCAGGAATTCCAGGTGGTACTCTGGCTTGCCATGGTGCCTGCAATCACATTGAAAACAACAATGAAATTATGATGGACTGCCCAACCAAAACAGCTGCCCAACTTAGTCTGTGATCAATTGAAGCCAAGTTGCTTGTCCAGCAGGAATTTGTGATTGCCCAGAGCCTGCAGCAGCACTTCCTGTAGCTGTAGATTGCATAGAGCCTTGTTGGTGGCTTGCCTTAGTGAGAAGTGGCCAAACCATCATGCAATCTACATTGAAAAACAGCTGCCCAACTAAAATGAGTTAAGCTACAAGTGCATTCTTCAGTCGATCCCACACTTCCTCTGGAGACAAAGTCCTGTAGTCCTCCTCATCCTCCTGCTTCACAGGTTGCTCAGCCATGACTCTTGGTTTTGGAAGAGGTCGAGGTCTCTTGTCGAGCTTTTGCTTCTTGGCACTAGTTGTAGGTGCTGGCTCTTCTTCAACTTCAACTAATACATGAGCTTCAGCTGGCCCAGTCCCAACAGGCTCTGCCAACTGTGCTACATCAGGAACTTCATCTGGAGGTTCCTGAAGTGAAGTGATATGACTTTAATTGTTCTATATCTAGAACATATACAATATCATATTATGAAAGTCACACCTTTGTTAACAAAAAGTTGCCCAAAAACAGCGAGACACAGTGGGAGCCCTTTGGTCCTACAAGGTTGGGCATAAACCTCTATGAGCTACAATAGTGACACCATATATCAGATATCAAAACAAAACCTTATTTCTGCAGTCCTCATACCAGTCTGCTTCATTTTGTTCATTCAATTCCATGGCCCACTCTTCATAGCTTGTGAAAGGCTTGTTCTCCCTTTGCCTCTTCATGGCAAACACAAATGCTTGCCAAGGCTAGCAGTACTTGAGCCTAAACAACATGGCTTGTTTTGAACCAATTACAAATTGTTTTACATTTACTAAAAACACAAAGAACTTTTTGAAAAAAGCTCAAAGCAAGCTAACCACAAAAAAACTTCCAAAAACTGTTATATCTGAGCCTGCAAAGGCTAATGGGGATGAGCCTGCAAAGGCTGATAGAAATAAACCTGCAAAGCCTGATGAAAATAAACGCGCAAGGGCTACTGGTAATGAGCCTGCAAGGGGTACTGGTAATGAGCTTGCAAAGGCTGATAAAAAATAACCTATAAAGGTTAATGGGCATGGGCCTGTCAGGGCTACTAGTGATGAGCTTGCAAATGCTTTCATTGAAGAGAGCTTGGAAAAGCTTGTCCAAAACTGAGTCTGTAATGGTTTTTGGGCAAAAGCCTAGAATGGCTATTGTCTTAGAGCTTGAAAGGGCTCTTGGGCTGAAGCTGGCCCTACCAAGGGCCAGTATTCAACAAACATCATTGCCCTTTTCACCTGGCAACTTCAACTTGTGTTTGAAGCCTACTTTGTCTTCTTTGTGTAGGCTCTCTTCTGTACATCTTTGAAGCAGCTTTCGCAATCAGCTTCCAAAAATTCAAAAAACAGAAGTCAGCATGCTTGGGTCCAGCAAGACAGATACATCTTTCTCCTTGTAGGAGCTGGGCTTCAAGACTTCCACTTTGATGCCACCCACATCCAGCTGAAGAGTAGCAGGCCCATTGTCCAGCCTGGGCTTCTTCTTTGGCTGCTCATCCTTGAACAGTGCCTGCTCTTTTTCACCACCATCGTCCTGCTGGTTTGAAGATGCATTGGCCAAAGCTTCTTCCTGCTTCTTCCTGAGCAATGCAAAGCATTCACCTTTGCTGAGGCTTGGGTTCTTGCACTCTCTGTAGAGATCCAAATTGTGAGCAGCTAGCACTCTGCAAACAAATGGGTGGCTGGCTTGGAGTTTGAGAAACTTCTTGCCATCTGGGCCAGGAAGGATCAACACTTTTGGAACCACAGCTGCACACACATTCTTGTAAGACAGCACCACCCTCTCTGAGATGTCCACCATGAATGGCAAGACACTATAGAGGCACAGGCAGAGACTTGGGGCAAAAAACTTGCTGCAAGAAAAAAGCATAGAGTAGAACGGCAAAAAGCTTTGCAGAAAATTCAGCCACTCATGGCTTTTCAAAGAGCTTCAAAAAGCTATGAATACTAGAGCCTTTGAAAGCTTGCATATTCAACCTTCAAGCCAGCTTTTCCCAGCAGCAAGTCTTCAGGTCTCATGGTTTCTTCCTCTTCTTGGCTTCCTCTTGAAGCTCTACCCACAAAGGGGTCCCAATCTGCAAAGCCACCTTGTTCTTCAAGCAGGGGATGGTCAGGTCAAGGTTTTTGACAGTAGCCCTGACCAGGGTGGCCTTCTCAGTTGGCTGGGCAGCATCATCCTTGTCCTTCTCCTCTTTCATTTCTTTGCACCAGAAGAAAGGGCACCAATGGCCACTTTGCTTTTCAAAATTGCACTTGGAGTGTGACACCACCAAGGCATCATCAAATTTCCAACCAGCTAGCTGGAGCACCACAGAGCTTTTGGTGACTTTTTCTTTGGGCTGCAAAACTACATGGCCAAGTGGAATCAGCACCAAATCATTCTTGGAGAACTTGTTATTGGCAAAGAGCTGGTTGGTGTTTGAAACCACCAGATCAAAGTCACCCAGCCTGGGTGTGCAGGAAACACAGCAAACCTTAAAAGCAAAAACAAAAAACCTTTAAGGCACTGCTGGCTCTGTCACATCCATCTTACCATATTTCCCCACGCTCATCATTTCTGCAGTGAAAATGTTTGTGATTTCTTCCAGCTGTTTGTAGACCTTTGCCTCAGGGCCTTTGGCGCCCTTTCCAAGCAGAAACAAAGCAACCCTGGTCAAGTATCGACCCATAGGCTGGGCCTTTTGGTCCAAGGTCAAAGGGCTGCTTTGACACAATTGCCAAGCTTCCATCAATAGCTTTTCAGCAGCAGCCACTTGCACAGCCATTCCTTTCTGCTTCAATTTTGAAAAATCACTGGGGTTCACCAGCTTGGAAATGCCATCTCTGGCACACATCTGACATGTAGCCAGTGCCAAGCGGATCCAAGGATAGGTGGTCTCTTTGGATTTGAAATCAGTGAAAGCAAGTAATTCAGTGAACTCCTGGCCCCAAACTGTTGAACCACCATACTGCTTGCCTTGGTGTGTGTGTGTGTGTGGGGGGGGGGGCAATGGTGCATGGGTGAGGAAGAACAAATGAGCCTGCCATGGCTTGCAGTTGAGCTTCTCAAAGTT